TCCTACCAGGGTCTACCGTGGGAGCAAGGTAGACCATGGGAACGAAGTTGAAGCTCACTCGCGGGCAACATGTCGCTCGGGCCTGCTGGGTGTATGTTGTTCAAAGTGCGCATAGGCAGATAACTATAACTATACTCAGAAATTTCAGCACTAACCATACAGTTTTCTAAATATAACTCTATGGCTTAAACCCAATGACCTTTGTCGTCACACTATTACAAGTCGCCTTATTCCAACCATCAGCGTGTATGTTTATTTGTCGTCACTAGACTCAGGGCAATTATTTGGTAAAACTCCCTGTGTTTCCAGTCAATTGGCTCCAAAGCCTCGTGAAATCAGTCCAAGGCACGAGGACGGAAAGGGTAAATCGCAACCTCCTCTCCATGGGCTGCACATGCATTCCTTCGCGCAAGGCATTTTCAAACCAACATGATGCGGCAAGATTGTATCCATGACAATGAAGTTGGGTAAATCGCTCTTTGTTGAAAATGCGTCACAGTCTCTGGTGGCGAGTTCGATTCAGATGCTAGACTACGGTTAACATGTTCTTCTCATCAGAAATTATATCTTGGTGCTTTAAGGATCACAAGGAATATTTCACCAATGGACAGAAGCAACGCATGTCTTTGCATGCATGTCTTTGTGTAAGTTAACGTCCTGAATGCAAGCATGATGCAAGTGTGGGCAAATATTCCGTGCCCGTGCGCCACCTTCCCAGAACTATTGTGCAATTTTTAAGCAATGAATCATGAAAGGTGTACCTATAAATACATGTAGTTGGAGTCATGTTCGGAATTTGGAAGTTATACTGTCATACATGTAGTTTGGAATGAATTTGAGAAAGCTAATATTGGCAATAAGTGAAAGACACCATGACATCCAAGCACACAATTCTGAATATGAAGAGTGATGTGACCACATACATGTACATGTACAAGATTTATTGCTTAAAACAACACTTTTTAGTATGCATGTTAATTTCTAAGAATACATGCTAATTACTTAACTTATTAATTACACGTAGCAGTGCAAATTTCCATAATATTTCAGTTGTACAATGTACACAGGATGTCCTCGATTATCTTTTTACTCGTCTCAGCCTGTACATGGACTCTGAAAAATTCCTACTCAGATTTTGGGCTCAGTACTTGATTAAGAAGTACTCAGACTCAGCCCGTACTCGGCACTGTGTGTACTCGGTAAACTTGGTACTTAAGTTTTGGTACTCGACTACATTACTGGTTAAACGACATCCAAGCAAAAATGATACAAACAGAGAATGGGGTCAGGAGTGTGGTCCACACAGGAACTGAGTTTAAACTCTCAGCAGAATGCGCACAAGGTCACAGCATCTCTGTGGGAAAAGAAATGCATGGAGTGTGGGTGCAGTGGTAATCTTGAGATTTCCTTCAGTAACAGTGTTATTTTGCACTTTTTTTTTTACAGCTGAAACGGTATAGGTGTGTATGCATTTGCACATGTACACTGACTCATACTGTCCTGGATTTAATGTACATGTACACCAATGCTTGGTGTGACACTCTCGCCAAAATCTCTACGTGGCAACTGTAAATACAATAACATCATGTACCTTAATACAAAACCATGCCTTCATGCAAGGTGCTATATCAATATTACCCATAAACATTCCCTCCCCCCAACCATCTCAGCTCCCCAGGGAGTGATTCAACTCAGAGCAGCTACTTCAGGCAAAAGCTGCTAATCAAACAAGACAGTTCCTGGCTGGGGAGAAGCAGCTAGTGGCATACCAGCCAACAGTGAAAACTCAGTAATCGGAACACCCATTTAACGAGCAGCCAGAGTGAGAGAAGCTACTTGTACGCATTTGTGTGCACCGGTATGTACAACTGCCATTTGACACAGCAAATAGTGCCCTCTTTTTCTGCAAATAGTGCCCTCTTTTTCTGCAAATAGTGCCCTCTTTTTCTGCAAATAGTGCCCTCTTTTTCTGCAAATAGTGCCCTCTTTTTCTGCAAATAGTGCCCTCTTTTTCTGCAAATAGTGCCCTCTTTTTCTGCAAATAGTGCCCTCTTTTTCCTGCAAATAGTGCCCTCTTTTGCCAGGACTTATTTTATTTCCCTTTTTATTGAAATTAAAACGTTCGGATTTTAGGCCTTTAAGAACTCAAAAATGGAAACAGTTCTGATTAAAGCAGAGCAGTTGGTAGGTACATGTGTGTAAGGGCAAAGGGTCTGTAAAGAGCCCACAGACACAAGCACTGCATTAAACCTCAGAGGCCAGACTACAGCAATACAGACAGTATTCACCAGAGATCTTGAGATCCATATGCCAGACCACCAAGGCCACAGCAATCCAACTCCAATGTCCAATCTTAAGGAAGAAAGTGGAAGTGTACTTTTGCCCCCCATCCATGGTTATCTAATCTGAGGGGACTGGGTTCTGTTTTTCCTGTCAAGGCATTTATCCCAGATTGGTTTTTATCAAGTTTCAAGGCAAGGAAGGTGACAGGGATGATAATGATGACAGCACTGACTGCTGATGCAGTCAACCCCTTGCTTGTCCAACAACTACACCCTGACTGCCAGACATTCCTGCAGTGAGTGGGGGCAAAGATAGTCTCTTCAATTCTGCAATCCTTTTCCCAAAATGTCCAGTTAGTCTCTTCAATTCTGCAATTCTTTTCCCAAAATGCCCAGTTAGTCTCTTCAATTCTGCAATCCTTTTCCCAAAATGCCCAGTTAGTCTCTTCAATTCTGCAATCCTTTTCCCATTTCTAACTTTCTCTCTGATGTTTCAGCAAATATCAAATAAGGTTTGACTGGGGGGCCTTTCTGTCAATGGCTTGTGGTTTAGCACTTCAAGCCAGCCATGGGGATCACTTTCCCAGCCAAGACAAGAGAGGAGGTGTCCTTGTCATGTGCAACATTAAACTTAATCCAGGAAGGTGAAAGTTTTCAAGATGGTTTTCCATATGCTCTCTTAAAAAAAAAAAATATCTGACAGTGATGGGAAATGCCCTGGCCACAATGTTGACATTTCAGGCAGGAAGAGATGTACACACCTGCAGCTAGGAGGCAGTAGATATCAAAACAGCAATTCACCTTGATGATAGGTTGAATGATGGGGGTCGGCACTGCCGGCATGTGACCCATGGACCCAGACAAGGTCATTGCTGGAACAGAGCGCAGAATAAGGAACAGAGGAAAAAATCCACCACCAGGGGCGCAAACTTCATATAATAAGAAGCAGGTCTTGGCTTGACTCCAGAAGTTGAAATTAGCCAAGCCAAACATCTTGGCAAGGCCGACCATTCCAAGAGAAATGGATTTACCAGGGGAGTTGAGTCTCGCCAGCCATTGAAAGATGATGCAGAAACATTTCAACACAGAAATGTTCTTTTTATGCTCTCGGCTGAGAGGACAAAACAACAGATTCACTCTTTTATAAAGTGTTATACGACTTTGCCTGAATCAAAATATTCTTCTTTCAAAGCTGAACATTTTTGACAATGGAACCAGGAACAATCTTGTCTCTAAACCAGGGGTTAGATTCAGGCGATGAAAAGAAATCTATGAAACATCCAGTTGAGGGCTTGTAACAATAGTGGAAATAAAGTACTATGACTTTACAGGGCTTTTATTATCCTCCCAAAAAAAGACAACTGGATCATCCTAATTTGCCTCTTTTTTTTTTCTTTATTACTAAGAATGCAAAAAGCAGTACAACCTAGACGGGTAAACATTTCAGCACAGAATCCTAAAGTTATTTCAGTGACTAATCACACCCCTGCTAAGTCTCCCATCAGGAGAATTTCCCTGATCAATCTGGCTGACACAGAACATACCAATGAGACTACAAACTAGCCTGTCTTGGCCAAAGTTGTTGGACCCCGTTCCATTGGACACAGAGTTGCTGCCCAACGCAACTCTGTCCGGAAAAGGTTTTTGCCCAAAGTTAATGAACAACCCCCTCCTCTCAGGCTCAGCAGGACATCATCTCCTTACCCTCCCAGATCCTTTGAAACCCAATTGGCCATTTCTGAGAAATTCTTGCTCACAGGATTTCAGATGGCAGACCTACTTTATGTGGGACTTGCCACATCTTGAAAGTTGGCATACCAAAAGTGCCCCACCGAGTTCCTACAAAGAGGCTAAGGCCATGTCCGAAATGGGCTTCCAGAGCTATGGCTAGGTCTATGATCGGCGCATATCTGCATATTTCCAATGGAGTGGCGACCTGGACTTAGCCGTAGACAACAGATTTGGGTGCAGCCTAACCGCAGATAATGGGAAAGTTCCCATACCCAAATGGTTTGGGAGGATGCTGAAAATCACTTAACAGGGACGGGGAAATATCTCTGGCATGCAACTGGGACTTTGACAAAAACAAGGAATTTCCAATCTTGACAAGACTTTGTACAGTGTTTTTCAATTTTCTATGGCATGAGTGTGAAGTGATAAACGAGGAAATCAGCTGATCTAAGGAAAAAGTTGTATGCCTGCTATCTGCTGCACCTGCTACTGCCTTGACTCTGTCTATCCTTGTACGCTGTGAGCCAGCTCTGTATCCCAATAGCAGTGCACGCATGACATGAAGCGCTTCAAAGATCACTTGGTATACTCAATACCCTCTGATGATCAGCCCTATCAGCAAGGCCACACACTGATTCACATGCTCATATGCTTGAGCCAGTGGTGTTTGTTGGAGGGGGGGCAAACCCCTAAGCACCTCCCTCACCAATGAGATTTTGAAATGTACACAACATACGTACAAGCTGTGGTTGGACAACTCTCGGTGCTGCCCTAAACAAATGCGTGCACCTGCAGGTGCCCCCCCCCCGAATTCAACCCAGGCTGCACCACTGGCTTGATGTCAGGTCTTTTTTTATTTCCAAAAGACCTTGCCTCGTTTTAATATCGAAAATTGGATCACTTCGTATCTGAGCACACTACATTTCAGTCCCAAGCGTGTGGATAAAACACATCCCGAAACGACCGACTCGGAAAAATTCCACCTACCTGTGTCTCGGTGACCCATCTTAGCGGACACTGGGCGTTGCCTACTACTGTTGGTCTGGGCTCCATATGATGATGTAGCCACTGCATCAGATGACGTAGGTCGAAGGCCCCCACTAGGGGTGGACTGTGGCCGCCGGTTCTGGGTGGCTGAAATTGGGTATGCAGCATCTCCTGCTCCTGTGACAGGGAAGACATGATGTGACTTCATTATCGATTCATCATTTCATTTCTTATTTTAGTCAAATATCAACGGGTAGTCATTTTCTACAACTCGCACAATGCTACCCAGCTAGAGCATGCATATAAACTGCTTGAGACGAGACTAAGAGCTAACTTCCTGGTTCCTCTATCTTCTCACCCACAACACTTCCACATGTGATTTGCACCGACTTGATGACCTGCATATTATGAACCAATGCATGGCATGTGCATTTGGACATTTAGAATTGGTATTGAATCTAATTGCCCACGTTTACTCAACAGAGTAACTGCAATTCCTCCTCAACCCAAGCCACTTTATGGATTCATGCCCTACATTAGGGCTGTGCCGAATGTCCGAAAATTCCATTGATTATCGAATATTCAATTGTTATTTTTCAAATGTGAATATTTGAATGCAAATTCACAAAAAGGGAGAATTTTCTTTTTTAAATGAGAAAAACCTCACTATGGAGGCTTGTTTCAAGCAGATTCCAGACACTTGAAGGTAGCTGATAAGCTCAACAGTCCAACATAGAATCCATCCTGGAATATGGGAATAGCTTTAACAATCAAAATGTGAACGTGCCAAGATAGTATTCATTGTATAAATAATGATGTATTGATGCAAACTTTGTTGAAATAAAATGATAAAACCTTCATGACAATATCTCAACTTGAAATAAACCTGAGAAGCTATTACAGTGATTATAATGCAAAACTGCCCATGTGCGCTGAGCTATATATGCAGCCTATCCGGGAATACTCGAGATTCCTCCTAAGAGTGGACATTTAATCAGCCCCAGACTTACCCAACTTGAAATCATACCTGGCATGAACGCAATTCAAATACCCAAGTGTCATGGCCAATCAGATATGCAAGCAAATTTATGACACCACGAGGGTGTCTGGTTCACAGTGCCAATTATACTGAATTCAGCTCCATATGCAAGCAACTATGGCTTGCTTTATTCCTGTGGGAGTCTGGGAACTACACCTAATCACTGGTGATGCTTTTATAAGAGGCTCTGTGCTACCTGCTTCCTGAAATATTCAGTGGCACTCGGAATACTTTGAATTCAATTGAAATACCAGTCCAATGGAACTGATGGAAGGGTTATATAATTGAGGTCAACATGACAAGAACATGCATGGCTGTGATGGCTTTTAAACTGTGCTGATAAAAACCCAACCAAAAAAAGCATTTAAAAATATATGTGTACTGACTAAGGTTTCTTTCACATTCGTAAATACACACCTGTACCTCAGACAGTTTCCCTATTTAACAACGTGCAACTTGACCATGTACTAACATTTGATAATACCCGCTGAGAAGTGATAATGCCTTCTGCGTAAGTCATGTGCTGGCACCTGGATACACAACAGCTTAATGACTTCTGATTGGTCAGGAGTCTGCGTGCATGTGGCTCTCCATGCCATGCCGATTGGACGATTTGCACAAGAAATATTCCATAAAATGGACAGGGTGTTCGGGAAAATGAAAATAAAATTCTAGAATGAAATGGAAATCTATCATATAATGACTTCTTGTGACACTAAAAAGGTATTTATACGGTAATAAATATGAGCTTTGCCTATCTAAAATGTTCTTCTCTCTGTCTTAAACTTCTACTCTCAGAATGGAAATTTTGGGGTGAGGGCAGAGTCATGGGGGGGCTAAAATTGTTAGCCATTTCTCTATGTAACCATCTAAATTTGGGAGCTTTTTACATGCTTTGAGAAGGAACGGAAACAAATCAGTCCCTAAATATTGCCTCTTTCTCATTACATTAAAAAAAGAGAAAAAGAAATTGACTCTTTTGTGGGTGGGGATAACTGCAGTTGCCCCCCTCCCCTTTCAATAGACCTATGCCTATACTGTTGAGTTTAATATTCCCTGTTAAATAAGTACTTCTTTCATTTTAAACGAAAGTGAAATTTCGTCAAAGAGGAGTCACTCACCCTAAATGTTGATTCCAATTTCAAAATAACACAACTAGATTTCACTTTCAAAGCATTGTAAATCATGAAAAAAAAACCACTTAATTGTCTGAGTTATCATTTTTGTCTCACTCCGGGAATGGCATTTCAATTGGAAAAGCAAATTAGTTTGTTGTCATCCATTTTACCCATTTATCATTCAATTTTTTAGAATGTATTGTTGAGAAAGTTTGAATTACCAGTTATTTGGACATCAGTTTTGTTGCAATTCAAAATAGACTAACATAGAATACGCCGAAGAAATCAGGCATGATGATTTCATAAATCATTGTTATTTGACTTTCTCTTGTTCATTAGATGGGGTCCGCTTGCAAGTCCGACGACTCATAATTCTGACGCCTCATAAGTGCAAACAAAGCATTTTAAAAAGTCCGTAAGTCCGACGCCTCATAGGTCCGACACCTGTCCGACGCCTCATAAGTCCGATGCCTCAAGGTCCGACGCCTCATAAGTCAAACAAATGAGTTTAAAAGTTCCACCGTTTTTCTCGTCCCTTGGCATAGGCCCAACACCTCAAAAAATCTGACACCTCAAAAGTCCAACGTTTGATTTGATGCTCGTTACGAGCATGTGGAGACGGCACTAGGAACAAGACTGGTTCCCGGTGTCAAGTATGGTGTACTGTTTATGACATACAATATCGCGTCGCACGGGCCCGCACTCCTCCATATTTCACAGTTAGTCACACTGACGCCTCATGCTAAATCTGACACCTCGTTGGTCTGACGTCGGATTTATGAGGCGTCGGAACTATGAGGCTGAAAAAAAAATTGCCCATAAATCTGACACCTCATTTTTCCAACGCCTCATAAGTCCTATAAGGCGTCGGACTTAAAATACGCACCCATTAGATTAAGGGCCAACGCTTTGTATACAAATTTATATCACCGATGAAGTTGAATGATTTAATCAGTAAAATGAATGAAAAAATGAATTTGCTTTTTCCAATTCAACAGCATTCCAGGAGTGAGACAAAAATAACGATAAAAAGGACAAAGTTTTTTTTTGTGAATTACCATTGTGAATTACAATGCTCTGAAATTGAAATACAGTGGTTTTATTTTGAAATGGGAATCAACACTTAGGGTGAGTGACCTTCTGTGACAAAATTAAACTTGTTAAGTAATTCTAAATGAAAGCAGTGCAAAATTAACCAGGAAAACCTACATGTATATCAAATAGTGAATAGAGGTGAACTCTTTACAATGAACAAAAAACCTACTCATTCTCTTTCAGTTTGCACTTGTAGCTGAAACTCAAATAATTCAACAGCAGGCCAACCAATCACAGCCCAAACCACAGACTAACACAGGCAAACATCAGTTTGAAAGTTTCAAACAGAGATTATTTTCCTACCTCCCCGCCTGACAAATTCTCAAGGCATAATCAATTTTCTTTCCCCAACCTAAAACAGCACTTGAAAACAAATCACCGGTGCGAAAGCTATTACATTATTATTATTATTACCCCCTTGGGGACATAAAGGATTGCTTGGACCATTTCAACTTCCTGTGGTTGTGTGCAAAGGGCTCATTTCATCATTTCATGGGACAGAGAAAAGACAGCAGACAGCCGATCCAGAGTCAGGCGAATTCCAGCAAAATGGCTTTGCCTCAGGCAATCCATATTGAAAGCCAACAGGTACCTGTACTTTTTATGTATGTTCTGAGGAATGGCGGAAGTGCACTTGTAACATAAAGTAGCCCTTAAAATACCCAAAAGTTGTCAAATTTAGCATGTCAAGTATTCGGGTCACACTTCCTAGCTGTCAGTCAACTGTGACAGCTACAGTAATATGCCTATTTGACTTGGACAACATAACTTCTAGGACACATACCGATAACTTCCTTATTCATAAAACCAAATACTTCTCTGAGGAGAAGAAAAACAAGGCAACTTTGATAGATCATCTGAACAGGACTGCAAATACTTACAAATAAACACATTATTATAATGTGATGGCCTGAAACTTCAAAGGGAAAGCCACCGCACTTTGTTGTATTGCTATCATTACACAGTATCAGTTGTACCCAAGCAGCAGGTTGCAATTACTAATATCCCAGCACACCTGTAGGCAATTACACTGAAACAATCAGTCAAAGTAAACACCTGTTTTCAGTTAACTCCTGCAGGGTGGTTTGAGGGGTAACAATCTGAATGGAAGTTGTGGCAAAAACTGCATTTTGATGGAGGCTTCTGGTCCTAAAGTGTCTCTAACTCAAGCTTTCCTGACAACAGTACAAGAGCTACAAGTAAACCTTTTACCACCTGGAGGGTAATTCAGAACAAGGATTCTTTCCTCACAATCTCCCTGGTTTGGTATGTTCACTGGTGGACAAGGGGGGTGAGAAAAGGACGCATGCCCCTCCAGGAATCCAAATGTAAATACTGACAGCCTGACTACACTAGGAATATGAACAAAGTCAATACTCCAGAGGTAACCTACCCCCTCCCCCACCTGGCATACTGGCTCTACCCCTGATGTTGAACCCTCGGTGTTAAGAGAATTTTTTGTTCTGCTTAAACTCTCACACCACAGTTCTACACTCAATTTTCTTCACAATGGTTATTTAGAAGGGAATTTGTCATTGTTACCCGTTTTATGACGAACATCCCAGTTTCTCTCTGCATTCATAAAATAGTCATTATTTTGAAAGTTCAGTGCCATCAAGAAAATGCTCAGGATAAAAAAACTGCATCGATAAGGGCAACAAATTTAGCAGTTTTTCTGATGTCATAATACTGCTCTCGGTCCCAGAGTTCCTTAACCTTGCAGTCATAAAAGGAGTTTTGTAGTAAGAACAGAGAAATAACAAACAGGTAAATTAACTTTGATGTCATTCTCAGCAAATGACCACTGACTGAAATTCATCGGAACCTTACTCCAATTCAAATTGAGACGGTTCAACTTTATCATGCAATCAAGTGTTGTTCAAACACAGCACTTACACACGCTGGTGCATTCGCCACAAAATAAT